AGAATGTAATATTACATTTATATAACCAAACTTGACAAGTTCGACAAAATAATGGAACAACTTAATATAGTGTGATTATTATCACATATAATATTAATAATATATCTGTTGGCACATGACAAAACCAAGTTTTGCATGTGCAGGGACTCTTTCTTTATCTCATATGAACTATATATATATTTTTAATTTAATTAAAATTTTCATATAAATTATTAAAAAAATTTATATATAAAAGGTACTATTTTTCTAATATTAGTATAAATTTAAAAATTTCTATACTCATCTGATTTTTATATTTAATCATAAAATAATAAATTATAATTTAAATATAAATTAAATAAAAAATTCAGTTCTTATATAGTTTATAAAAAGATAATTCTCCTTTTATGTATATATTACCGGAAAGCTTTCAACTTCAGGAAAGTCAGTGCATCACATGGACAGCAGAGAACTTGCGTACCGTTGAAGGTAGTTGAGCAACAAAAATATGGCAGTTGCAAACCCATGTACAAGCAATCTTTGTTAGTTAAAATCAACATTAAATGATATAATATTTTAGAAGCATATTGCATTTATATATTTATACTTCTATTGAGAATTAGATAGGTTTAGTTCCATAATTTATATCTTTATTATATATGAACAATGTCAAATTTTTGTTTAATTTTTCAATTTTTTTCTCAAGTTTATATTCTTTAACTTTTTTAGTCGTCACATCCAAGTCATTTTATCCGTGTTGCTGCTTTAAATAAATATTTTTTTACCTAAATAATTAAGCAGGGCACGATCTTGTAAAAAGGATTTCAATGATGAGTTAATGAGTACGGTGGTTTAAAACAATCTTAAATGAAATATGGTGTTTTGATTAGTAAATTTTAAGTATGATAATTTAAAATAATTCAATTAATTTAATTTACAGAGACTTTGAGTTATAAATGAGAATTTAAGAGTTATATATAAAGTATAACTAAAATAAATAAATAATTTCATCAATTAAAAAAATTAGAGACAGAAGCTCGAAAATATAGCCTTATAAAATTCAGTTCCCTTTGAACTGGATTAAACGAAGTACAACTAATGACTAACGTGTGTGTTCCCTGAATTTGTGTTCACTTATAAGAGTCTGGCTTTGAGTAGTTCCCAAGACATGCATCTATTTCTCTCTCCCAAAAAATCATAATAAATTTAAAACACCTAACTTATTAAAATGAAATAATGTAACTACAAATAATTTCAGATTTTGGACCAAATATATGACCTCTACAATTCTAACATAAGAAACCTGTAAATCTATGATCATATGAGTATAAATGAATAGTCGTAATTATAAAATTTGAGAAAATACATGATCACTTGAAAAAATTTTATGAATTTTTATGATTAAATATTTTATTGCATTACTTCATTTTAAAGAATAATATGTTTTTAAGATATAAGAAAATATGAAATTTTAGATAATATGTATATAAATGTCTAAATTATATGAAATTTGATATATATATATATATATATATATATAATAATAATAATAATAAAAATAATAATAAAATAATATAAATTAATTGAAAATGAACTAATCTTATATTCTATAAAAAAAGTTATATCTGACTTATTTTTATATATCTAACTAAATCAAATAGACAAATCTGAGATTTGAAAAATGTAGAATGTTAATCTCAGCCCAAGAAGTTTAGAATAAACAATTAAAAAATATTTATTATATTTTGGAAAATTTGAATACAATAAATATTATTTTATAAAAAAAATTCTTTATGATCGTTTAAAAAAAAAAAAAAAACCCTTAAGAAGAATGAAACTACTACACATGCATATCTATTTTTGAAGTAAAGCGGCCGCCCAACAACTCATTGACGGAATGGCCTTTTCTTCTTCCATACTCTTGCCGACCCAAATCACATTCTTAAGCCATTCATTGTATCATTATTTGTTTATAGAAATTGTAGAAAATAATATATAATAAAGTACATTAATTATAGCTAACACACCTTCATTGCTATACAAGATTCGTTTGCTTCATGCAATATCTCATTTTCTAGGTAGTTCATAATTATTAATATATTGGATAAGATACTATCCGATCTTATCTATAAAAAGAAAAAGAAATTAAATATTCCTCAGTCATATAAGTTGAATACCTTATTAGTTAAAATTAAAGGTAATTAACTTAATTAAGGATAATAATTAAATTATTATTTACTTTAATTAAAGGGTCAAACTAAGGCTGACTTAGCAAGCCCATTAACCTATAATACTTTCTATAAAAAGAAGATAAAAAGTACAGGTAAATGGTTAACTTTTAACTATTAAATAACATTTATTACTCAGAACTAAGACTTGACTTCAGTATCAGAGTGCTTTTTACAGGTACCCTCTCCATATCTCACGTCAGTAATGTACAAAAGGACATCATCTTACTTATATAGATATCAAAATGTTAGTATTTTTAGAACATGAACAACTAAGATAATAAGAGTTATGATCTAATATAATGTAATTTATAAGTTTTTAAATTTAATATTAAAAATTAATTCAATTTTCAATATTAAATTTCTTCAATTCTCCGAACACTGTGGTTTTGGGATGGTGAGAATATCTGAATGTTCAATTAATGCAACATTGCCTAAAGACTGGTTTGCACTGTTTACATGTGTTCAACTTTTCTATGGTTAGGTGTGAGTCAGGGTCAGATCCCCCAAGCCAAAATCAAGTCGCAATAAGCGCAACTATGAAAGGTCACCCAGTTCAATAATCAACAAACAACACCATATTTAATGGAATAATTATTATATTATTAAATGTATGATTCAAAAAATTGGTATAAAAGAGAAAAAATGTAGCTTAAATTTCATTCGGAAAGTGCGGGCTAAATTCAAGTGAAGACTTGGTCAGTGCAACGATAAACCTCTTTTAATGTTGTGCCGCTCAACTTTACCGTTTTCTCATCCTTTTTGGCCTTTCTGGGAAAGTTTGAAGTTTCCATGAAAAGTAATAGCCAAACTCCACTTTCATTTTTAGGTCAAACCCGTTGAATTGGTTTAAAATAAGTATGCATTTAGATTCATTCAAGTAAAACCCCAGGTCCCCACCCCTCGACCTCTTCCTCCGCCACCTGCTATGCCCAAACTTTATATTTTCTAATTTTCTTGACACCAAATTTCTTTTATTTCTTCATTGAAATTTTGACCTCAATCCCTCTTTGACTTGCCAAAACTGAGGAAAAAAAAAGACTTTTTTTTCTGTCCTTAGACTGTGTTCATGAGAAAAAGACTTGTTCATTGACTGTAACCCGTGTACTTGTTTGATTTAGCAAAGCAAAATTTACAACAGTAACTGAATTATTTTAATTAGTTTGACTTTCCCCCTGGCTTTAAATTCAAACACCGTTTTCGCACTTGAAGTTTCACTTGGATCTTAGTCGAATGAAAGTTAGAATAATGATCGACAAACGGTTAGCGTGTCATTTTATGTAACAAAACTTGAGGATGATGCGTAGACAAATGAACGAGATTTGCTGCTTTTGAGTAACATGACATGCTTGTATCTTAAGTGAATAGATAAGCTGTTTTAATCTCAATTTAGAAGTTGTAATTGAGTGCAAATTGCGTTCATACATATTTGGTTATTTCATCATGTCAATGACTCACAAAAGAAAAAAAAAATCCATTACTTTAAAAGGATTATTAATTTATTACTGTAATTTCTACGCAAATAGGCTTACATGCGGTGACGGATTCAGAATTTTTTTTGTTGTGAGAGCAATCATTTAATAAAATAAGAAGCAGCTGAAATGTGTTTCTTTGACAGTGAAGTGGGAGCAATTAAAATATAATAAAGGAGACAATTAAAATATAATATATATATATATATATATATATATATATATATATATATTAGTAAAAGAAAGTTAAAACATAGTGGAAACACTTTCTTTCACTCAAATACTAATGTACCCGTCCCTGCTTCCATGGAAGACAGAAGAGAAACGTAAGCTTTTACTCAAATGAAAGCCAATTGGTCAAGTTATACTTAATTTTAAGTGTTTCATACTTTACAATAAAACATAGCTAGTAATTTTTTTTATATTGTCACTTAAAAAATTCTGTATTGCACAATTTTTTAAAATTTAAATAATATGTAAAATATAAATATGAATGTATAAATTATCGTTGATATCAAATAATAGTGATATTATGTATCCTATGAAAGAAAAAGAGTATGATAAAAATGTCAGAATTATAATGATAAATTCTATTTTATTAAATAATGATAAAGTAAAGATGTGAAATTTTAACTTCAATTAAAGAAAAAGCTATAAAAATAAGTCATTTAAATCCAAACACATAATCTCTATATCTGTTAACTGTATTAATTGATTTCATACATTTTTAATGTATTCATTTTGTAAATGACACTCGATCATTACATTAACAGATTCGATATTATTTTACTCTAGAAGTAACACCTTTTGTTACTTCCAAGTAATAATATTATTAACTATGACTACAAAGTGATGTGGTAGCGATAATGATTATTGATTCATCGATCAATAATAAGTATAGGTAGCAATATGATTTATCTATTCTTTATGAATTTATCAATATGCTAATTTATCGCGCACTTGGTTTCTTGTAAGTGTAAATAAGATAATGTGTGAAGTAATAACTATTAATGCTAAGGACTTTGTGAAACAAAAAAAATATCATTTCTTCAATCATACACACAGCTTAGTCTAATTAGAAAATATTAGAGTTTTTCAATCTTCATTCATCTTATAGTGCTACCAAACTCTCGCCATCTTTGTCCGATGCACAGTTACAAAACATTTAAAATAAAATCATGCAATTTAACCTAATAGAAGACCTTTGTTTCAATGATCCCTTAGCCCACGTACTTTTATTAGATAAAAGTCATTACTAGCTTTAGGAATCAAAGATCATAGATCTTATTTCTAATTTCTCATTGCAAACCATGCATGCTTGTCATTGGGTTGATTTCAAGAACCTTTTGAACCACTCAACAGATTGTTTTGGGTATCTCCTCAAGTTGTCTTTGTAATCAACGAAATACAAACCAAATCTAGAAGTGAATCCAGCTTGCCACTCCCAGTTATCTAGTAGTGACCACACAAAATAGCCTTTCACGTTGCATCCGTCTTCGCTGTAATCAACCGAATCAAAATATTTATTAGCTTAATAAATTATAGACAACTCATGGTCAACTAATGGACACAGAATTATATATAAGAATAAATGTAAAAAAAATAAAATAAAATTACGTACATGATAGAAGCTAGTAAGTTAATTAAGTAGTCGTTGTGGTATCTAATCCTTTTCTCATCCTTCAGAGCATCCTTAATGGAGATAAGTGGATCATTTGGATCATCCATTCCTATGACAAGTGAGAGAGAGCATAAGCTAGCTCACCATAGACAACCTACCTATATATATGCACACTTTTCTAAATGTGTTGCATTCTATGCTAGAAAAGATAATTTATACCATGGAAAAATAATTCTAAAGAGTTGATGAGATCGATTAAAAATTTTGATTTAATTTTAAAGTTACCATTTTCAGTGATAATGACTGGAGGATTCCCATACTTCTGTTTGATGTAATTCACAGTGCTTCTCATCCCTTGTGGTACTATGTACAACCATAATGAATTTGCCTTTGCACAAAACAATTTAAAATTCATTAGCATGATTTATAAAATAATATATCCGAATAATAACGAAGTTGTGACTACTCAAATAAGATAAATACATTTATGATTGGATAAAAAAAAACATATTCATATAGTTTTGATGGGAAAAAAAACATGAATTTCATTAATAGTTTTTTCTTTTGCTCATTTATTGTTAGCAGTAAAAAATATTTATAAGTAAAAAAACAAATTAGCATAAAAAAAATATTCTCTCTAATAGAATTTACCTTTTCTCCAATAACTTTGGTGCCATTAAATGCTGAAAGGAGTTTAAAAATATAAACAAAATAACATTCAATTAGGTGCATTCATCAAACACAAATTGTAGAGGGCCAATCAAATACAATGGACAAATAAATAATATTTAGTTTTAACTTACGGAGGGTAAGGGCACCTGAGTCTGCAATGTAATCATGAAGTATAACACCAACTAAATTAGAAGCGTTGTGCATTGCATAAAATGTAGTGTAATGATTGATACCCACAAAATCTAATGAACCCTTAAGAAGATGAGCTTGAGGCTTAGAAAATTTTGGTAGCCTACTCCCTACTCTATTCCTCATTGAGATTGGATAATCTCCAAAAACCAATGGATCAAGAAACCTGTGAAGGAAGTCAACCGCTTAGTTAATCTATAGCAAATCATAATGTTAAGATAAGCCCAAGGCATATATTAAATGCCTTAGTTTCAAGTACAAAAGTAAAATCATGGTATGTATTCAATGATCTTGTTTTAAAAGAAAAATCCTTACCTTTTCTTCCTATTTTTCAACAAGGGATTTGATTATGCGTTTTATGGAGCTTAATAATATGAAGCTTTCAATATATATATGAGATTTTGTAAGATAATTACCACCCAAGCTGAAAATCTAAGGCTCTCTGAGTTGCTTCAATATCTTCTTTGGAATTTGTTGCTGACTCAAACCAAATGACATCCAAAGATATCCCAATAGATCCACCTTGTACTTTCTATGGAAAACACCATTTCTTAGTTCATTGGTTCTAACAACTACTAATTAAAGATGAAGTCATCACAAATGTGAAAATGTACGCTTACAAGTGCTTAAAAAAAAGAAAAAAAAGACAAGGTTTCATTTTTTATTTCTAATTGATATTTCTTATTTATAAGCCAAAATTTTAATTTTGTTTTGTGTTTCCCAATTTTATTAAAAACAGAATGAAAATAATAAAATATAAAATTTTTAAAAAGGGAACAAAACAAGTAAAATGACAATAGTATAATTATAATTTTAAAAAAGATTAAAAATTGAAGAAAAACAAACAAACACCCTCTAATATTTCTTTCATTTTCAAAATATTGCAATAGCAAAATTTGAAAATTTCATTTTCTATTATTTTGCCAAATTTATAAATTTGGTTCGTCCATTTCTATTGTATCTTTAATGAAAGGTGATGTTTATAATGCAATTACAAAATAATTAAATCCATTATATATTGTGAACTTATTTTTTTTATTTCACCTGGTATTTTTTCCTATAAATATCTACGACTATTGCATGAGAAAGAAGGACATTATGAGCCACGATATATGGTTCAGTAGCAGAGTTCCCATTCCGACATAGTTGGTGAAGGAGAATGGAGCATCGTCCGGGTGCCTCAACTCCAAGATCATATCCCATCATAGCAAATGTGTGAGGCTCATTGAAAGTGATCCAATGCTTTACCCTATCTCCAAATTTCTCAAAGCATATTTCAGCATATGTTGCAAAGTCTTTTCTGCGCATACAATTGCCAAATATTTATATATATTATACCATTATGCTATTATATACATAATCATAATAATACTATGAAAAATAAAGCTAACAAAGTTAAAAATATGAAAAAAACTAATACATGATCAAAGGGCTAAGCCATCCTTTGTACTTATCCTCCAAGGCTTGAGGTAGGTCCCAGTGATATAGAGTCACATATGGTTCAATTCCTACGAATATATATTAGAGATTGTTAAATTATAACCACCCCCCCCCCCCAAAAGTATGCATGAATCCAAAGTATAGCTCCTATTTATAATAATTAACTTTTTTTTTATCTCAATTAATTCTGTTATTTAAAGGAATGAGGAGAATTTTTGGATCCTCTATGAGCATGTCAACAATTTATTTAAATCAATTTATTGATTATTCAAGAACCCTTAGATAACAATTCGATGTTATGGGCATACGTAGGTAAAACACGTGTGATAAAAAATTTGTATTGCCATGTAGAAAATATGATTATGATCAATTGTATAATAATAGAGTTTACCTTGGGCTAGTAAAGCATTAATGAGTTTATTGTAGTGATCAATTCCTGCTTCGTTAATTTCTCCAGATCCATCTAACACATTAAAATCCATGGTCAAAATATTTTGTCATAATTAAGTTCAACAAATATTTTGCGCTTTGTCTAAATTTAGTGTAAGGGATAATTAATATAATTTTATTGTTAACGAAAAATACTACAATAGCTTGAATAATAATTTTCTAACATTAATCAAATAAAAGAAAACAAATGTTAATTATTATGGATTGCTTTCATACTAATTGCTCTCAAGATGCTTGTTAATTCCCATCCACATATACGTCGATATTAGATGAATACGGGTCAATTTCATTATATGGTTGTTAGTTCCTTAATGTCGTCAAAACTAGTTGACGAGCTTTTATTACAAATTGACATATTTTTTCAGTGGTCATCGTCCAAAATAAAGTCTAGAAAAACACAGGGAATTAAGAAATCTCTTTCAAATTCAATATCAAAATTAATAAGGGATAGACAAGAAAAATCCCTAGATAGTTCCTATATAATTAGGGTCATAAGTCTCATTAATATGTTTATATGTAACGAATTTTTATTAAAAAAATCAATTTAATTGCTATCCTATGTAAGTATATCATCCTAGCATCTTCTCACTTGATAATTATATAGATGAGGAAAAGTAAGCATATGGAATCAAATCATAAGAGTTTATACATGGAATAGAATTGTACATACAACGACAATGAAACAACTAGATGGATTATACTTTTAATAAAAGATTTTTTTTGAATAACAATTGAAGAGATGCAAAAACTAGAAAGATGAAAAATAAAAGAGTGAGATAAGAATGGTAGAAAGACGTGTCTATTGTCACATTATATTAACTTTTTCCTTGTTAGTCTATTGCCAAGTACCATATATAAAGATTTTTATTTCTTCTGATTACCTCTCCTTTTATATTCCCTACCATGTATATACCTTCTGTGTCAACACATATCAAATAAGTTGGTCCATTAAATGTAAATAGTAGAAAGTCTTACTGGAAAAAATTCGAGACCAAGAAATCGAAAACCTATAGGCATCCATTCCCATCTCCTTCATGAGTTGTGTGTCTTCCTACTTGCAAAGTGCAAACAATCCAAGATTCACAATGGATTAGTTTAGTTTAGTTTTGCAATTCTCTTTTGTGAAACCTGACATTGTCTAACTAAATAAGAGATTGTTTAGATTTCCCTAGGACATTAGATTATCTTAAATAACATTATAAGAGAATAGCAAGACACAAAAAACATCTTAGCCATTTTCAAGGTGATTGCGGTCAAAATAATAGATTTTGAAAAATTACATAAAATTGCATGTTAATCTAACTACCGACGAACCCGTTATTACCTACTTCATATCGATGATATTGATCAACTGCAACATCAGCATTGCTATTATCTACTATCTTGCCTACAACAAAATGCAAGAGAAGTTTCACTCTTATCTTTGAAATTAGTTGCATTTACAAGTTTGTTCGTGTATAAATAGCAACTTATTTACACATCATAGTTTATAGAATTATTTAATTGTATATGATTATAAGAAAATGGGTATAACAAAAAATGATTTAAAAGTTACATAAAAGTTTTATCCAATTTGAAATATTTTTTTTTTAATTTGGCGGTTTCAAGTATCTTACCAGGTGAATGTGAAAAAGTATCCCACACAGATGGCCTCCTTCCGTCTTCTTTTACTGCCCCTTCATACTATGATCAAATCAACAATATTACTCATTGAACTCACGGGCTATATAATTATAACACCCAATGATTTTGATTTTATAACTTTAACCCCTCAATGATAAGTGTTTCACTTAACATCATTGCACATAATTTGATGAAAAATCACATACATATATAAACATTAATATAAAAACATAAATTTAATTTTTGTAAGTAAAATATTAATTGCAATGAGAAACTTTAGTTGTTGGAGATCCAACAATGCTAAGCTCTTTGCTTTCGGGTAAGAATCCATAGCCCAAAGAAAATCAAGCTTACAAGCAGGCTTGGGCTATTTCATGTCAATCATTTTGTTCCAATTGGATTGAACTAAAATGATTTTGGGTTGAAAATTTCAAAACATATACTTTATATTGGGCATCGCATTGAATGTTTCGTGAGCATTGGTATATTTGGACATAGTAACTGGTACTTTGTAAAAGTGTGATTGTTAATTAATGTATTTTTATTTTTTAATGGTTACTAGCATATATATTTTTCGTAGACATTTTTCAACTTAAAACATGATTACACTAAGTATAGAGACGTCTTTTATTAGACAAAAACTAAACTAAAATCATGATTTACACTAAAAAGAAGGAACAGTTAAAAGCAACAATGAGAATATTGAAGGTGCCAACCTGAAAAGCTGAAGAAGCAGTGCCGAAAACAAAACCTTTTGGAAAGCTTTGCCTGTTAATATCTGACAGACAAATTTGAATCTTAAAGATGACAACCACTGCTATTGCAACAATGCCTCTCCTCAGTTCCATGTTTTTCTCTATGATAAACAATAGAACGAGGGTCTAATCTAATAATTTGTACTGTTTCTCTATTTTGAGGATATTTGATTTTGCTTGGCCGACCTAAAATATTCCTTCCTTCTGGAAAATAACGACTCTGGCGTCTAATATAGTATATTCCGTTCATATTTTATTACATTCTTTCTTTTGGTGTGTAAAAATAACTTATATTTTGTACATCAACATCGTTATTGTTTGCATCAATGACATAGTAAATTGAATATTCTCATAATATTTTTATTTATTTATCATTTTATAGAAAAATTATAGTTCTCTTTATTTGTCATTTTTAAAAAAATAAACTATTTTTTTGTTTATACTCTTATTTTTACACTTATCAAATATAAACAATATCATCAATTATATTTGTTAATTTGTGTGTTGTAACGTTAACAATAAATAAAATATTAAAATAGAAGGACACATGACCAAAGTAACTATAAAAAAAAAACTATTTTTTATATCAAAAGTGATTATATTTTTTGGCTACCTACAACCCTCTCTTCTGAATTGGGCCAAATTCTTACTTTATTAACAATTTTGTACTTATACATTTATTTTATAGATGCTTATCATAAAGATTATAACAAAGAGTCATACTTATAACCATAAAGATATATAGAACTTTTTACAACGCTAAAGTACCACACAATCCTGTTCCCATACCATGAGTGTGTATTACTTGTATCTAAGTACTAAATAACCAACAACATATTATTGGATGAGAAATATAAACTTTAACGTTAAAATGTCCTTAGTGTACTACTCTTTTGCCATCAATTTTTTTTAAACTAATCCTATCGAAATTCAAATTATCATTTTAATATAACTGAAGGAGTATATTAATTCTAAATATCTAAATTTTTTACACTGAATAAATGTGAAGAGGACGAAACACTTAATTACGGTTGTTTAGTTTTAAAAGATATTTTTTATTTTAATTATAAGTATTTGTACATAACTATTAAAATTAATATTTTTATAAAAAAATTATTTAATTTTAATATTTAAAAATAAAAAATAGTTTTAATTCTCAACAAAGAACTAAATATAAAATTTAAAATTAAATAAAATTTTATAAAGATTTAAATTAAAAGATATGATATTTTTATGTATCGATAATTTATTTTAATTTTTTTCTGTTATATTGTATAAAATTTAAAGAATAAAAAGAATTATCATTTTATAATATTAAATTTCTAAACTATTTACAGCACTAGCAGCGTAGCACGAAGAAACTGAACAAGGAGAATAATACCCACGAACGCAACACAATAGAATACTAGAAGATGGATCACGAGGAGGAGGAAGAGCCACCTCTTGCTGTTCAGATTCAAGGGAACAATGAATCCCTTTCTCAACAATCTTCTGTTGGTGTCACCCTCATCACTGGCTATCTCGGTGCTGGCAAGTCCACCGTAAGCTTTTTTTAACCTTTTTTTTTATCTCTATGCCATCATTCCAAACACCTAATCATTTTCTATGCACGATTTACTCTAATTTTTCCATCTTTCTAATTTCTGGCCCATTGGGTAGTTCAAAGTTATGTGCTTTTTCACTTTTGTCGAGTTCTTGTTGTTACTTGTTTTTGGTATGGTGTGAATGTTTTAGTGATTTGTTATGCAGAATTGTGATCTTGAAACTGAATCATTGAGCTTCAGGTAGTGAATTATTACTCTCAATTTTCCATTTTTCTAATATTTGGCCAATTGGGTAGTTTAAAGTTGTGTGCCTTTTCACTTTTGTTGAGTTCCTGTTGTTGCTTGTTTTCTGGAACGGTGATTATGCTTTAGTGATTTGTGATGTGGAATTGTGATCCTGCAACTGAATCATTGAACTTCAGCTAGTAAATCATATTTTGAATTCGCAACACGGGAAGAGGATAGCTGTTATATTGAATGAGTTTGGTGAGGAAATTGGTGTGGAAAGAGCAATGATAAATGAAGGGGATGGAGGTGCACTGGTTGAAGAATGGGTTGAGCTTGCAAATGGGTGCATATGTTGCACAGTCAAGCATAGTTTGGTTCAAGCACTTGAGCAGCTCGTGCAGAGAAAAGAAAGGTAAAAGAAGAAAACACTTAAAATTTTGTGGTCAATTTGAGGCATTGGAAAATTAAAGCAACTGAGTGTTAAATGACCCTTCTTGTCATAATTCACTTTCATGAAATCCCATCTTAATGAATTGATGTGGTGTTCAGTAAAGTGGGTCAACTTTACTGCATTTTTTGGCACAATGAATTTAAGTATTGTGTTTCTTTAGGCTCGACCATATATTGCTGGAAACCACTGGATTGGCAAATCCAGCACCTTTGGCATCTGTTCTTTGGTTGGATGAACAGTTGGAATCAGAAGTGAAGCTTGATTCTATCGTCACTGTAAGTATCTTTTTTGGATGAAATTCATTATAACCTGTCTCTTTTTTTTTGGCATGAATATTGCTGTAATTTTGTATATATTGTTTTTAAATTAGTTCTCTAGCATTTTCTGTATAACAAGACATTTGCTTATTGTTGGTTTTATTCCATGTCAAACAAATGAATCTGTATTATTTATTGTCACCTGCAAAATTGTAATTCTCGTTTGTCAAAAATAGTTCTTGGAGACTGACATGGAACATAGTATACACAACACTTGTGTTGGTTTTATCATCCTAGGTTTTGTGAGACTCAGTTTCTCTGTAAGAGCTTGGCTTGTGAATCACAGTCTTTTTTAATTGAGTTTCTTCTCAACTAGGTGGTGGATGCAAAAAATCTTCGCTTCCAGCTTAATGAGCATCGTGGCTCATCTTCATTTCCTGAAGCATATTTTCAGATAGCATTTGCGGTAATTGTTTATTATATTAAATGGATATTGGTTCTTATTGCTAACATATTTCTCATTTAATAACTGCCAGAATTACAGAAATTTGGTGGAACAGAAAAAAAAAGAAAGATAAAGAGAACATTAGAAAATATATTTCAGTAACGATACTATAAGTAATTGTTCAACACTGACCTTATACATCCTTTTATATTTATAATTTAGGTCAGGTACAAGCGTAGTACAACTAGTACAAGCATTTAGCCTAGGTTACCAATATTTATTTCTTAATGATGATTTGACCTATTGGAAATAAGTACAGTAGAGCTAATAATTTTTGCTGCTTGTTTCAGGACATTTTAATTCTTAACAAGGTTGATTTGGTATCTGCAGAGGGTTCTGGACTTCTGGAGGAACTTGAGGAAGAAATACATAGCATTAACTCCCTTGCAGAGATAATTCATTCTGTCCGATGTCAAGTTGACTTATCTAAGATATTGAACCGCCAAGCTTACAATACTGCAGTTAATAATACATATTTTTGCTCTCATCCATAAATTTTGCCTACCTGAGTATGGCTATTGCTTATTTTTGCTGCCTTTTTTTTCAGCATGCGAAACATTTAGAGACAATGTTAGAAGAAAGCCGTTCTTTGTCTACCAAAAAGCTTCATGATAGTGGTGTGAGAACCATATGCATTTCTGAGACTCAGACAGTTGATCTTGAAAAGGTAGATTTTCATGATTTATTCAACATTTTACTGTCAATTACATTTGAATATATATCACTAGAAAGCTTTCCATTTTTCTATAGCTTCTAATCAAGTATCAACATAGTTTATTCTATGATTAGCCTACACTTTTTTCCTTCACTTAGTCTATAGTTTGTTTCTGTAATGCATAATAGTGAAAATTTAGTTCCTGAATTCACGTTTTTCCAATTTAATGTTTTGAATAAACCTTTCTCTTTCTTGTCTCATATTTATGCATTGTTTAAAAATAAAAACCATGACAGACTCGGATATGGCTTGAGGAGATTCTCTGGGAGAAGAAATATGATATGGACGTATACCGTTGCAAAGGAGTGTTAAGTGTTCAAAATTCAGATCAACTGCATACATTGCAGGTAAACTATACTTAACACCATTAAGTTTTTCCCAGAAGTTTTCTCATGCTACTACGATATAAGACTTGGGTGGCTGTATTTGTGTTTTTCTGTATCTAAGTATGTTTATAATTAAGTGTACCACAGGGTAAAGATGCTCTTGATAAGATCAAAGCTCTTGGTTCACTCAAGAACCCTAAAGAGGCACAATGCTCCCTCCAATAGGAAAAACCCTATTTTCATTCAAATTCTCAAAACCCTATCTTACATGAGCATCCACAAATTTAGTTCATTCCAATATAAAACGTAGTTAAGACATTTAACATCGAAGACCTATTGGGCTTAACAATTTAGTTTAGCCCAATACAAGTTTAATTAAGACAATTAAAATAACTCTAAACACACTTCATAAACTACGTGGGCAGCAAATCCAATACTAAAAAAAAAAAATGAAACTAGTTAAATAAGTCCAAAACTTAATTAATAAAAAGGTCCTAAACAATACCTTCTCTAACGTAATCAAGTGGATCAACTTGGACTCCATTGCCTTCTTTAGGATCATATCACTATTACTGTTTGATGCTGTATTTAGTATATCAAGCACCACATCCATGCTTTAAATGAACATGACAAGTACTCTCTGTTACTTTTTTTACAACACCACTAACCAATCTATGATGCTATATACGTTCAATCCCTACTCCCTAGATTGTAGATTCTGCAGCAGTCAACTCACTTGTTTTTCAAGTACTAATGCAGCTTGATTTTAACTAGTTATTGTACAAGGAAAATTTCACATCCGGACTTAATTGCTAACTCCTGGATTTACATATTTGAGTTAGGGGAAAGGAAAAATTACTAATCTAAAAAAAAATGTAAAGAAAAATCTGCTATAAAAGATAACAATGTAAATTTTATTTATATTCTGTCTTGTCTAGTTGCCCTTGGCAAGCCTCAGGATTCTGAAACACTATATCCTAACCTGATAAATTGCTTTGTATTGTCCCTAACTGTTATTAAAGTTTTGATAAATAATTAATTTAACATCATCATAGATTCATACCTCTTATTTGATTGATCATTAGATGTTTGTGGGGAAATTGGCATGGTAATGGAGTTACTTTGTCTCTTAGATTTTTCTGTTTATTTATTTATTTTGTTTTCTTGACTGTTAATTGGGAATTAGTGTCAAATCATTTAGTTGTGAAAATCTTGCAGGCAGTGAGGGAACTTTATGAGATTGTTCCGGCTCGCACATGGGAAAAGGAAGAGAACCGCATAAATAAGATAGTCTTTATAGGTAATTTTTAGTTGAACTTTTCTGGTTTAAGCACAAACTTGATTAGTTGAAAGGCCTTCTTCAGCTTGTTAACATACTAATTATTTTCTAATTGGCAGGTCATAATCTGAAAGAAGATGTTCTAACTAATTCCTTTAGAGCTAGTGCAACATGTTAAGCTGTATTTGTTCCCATTGTGTGGGTAATAGCTCAACAATCAATGATTTGCTGAATATTTTGAGTTGAACCAAATCACAATGTGTTAAAACCTTAGGTGTTTTCTAAATCCTAGGTCAAGTTCTGAAGTGCCATTTTGATTTCATCTCATAGATTTTTGTTTTCTAATATTGTTAGAGATGCAATCAGATAAAGAGAATGAGAGAATAAAATTTTGTATTGTAACTGTGACTGGGAAGTAAATGTCAGAGATTTTTATCTTGCATAAAACAATGGGATTGAAACTGGTTTAGTGAGGATTTTATCTAACAATGAGACTTCAAAGTCTTTCATTATGGAAAAATAAAGCAACTTCATTACCAACACATAGGCCTCCGATTATGATTTGGACACTGCTGTAGTGCTTCTTCTCAGACTTCCACCAGAAATATGCAAGAACCAATAGAACTTTTTAAGTATCAATCAATGCTTTTAAGATTAGACTAATCATTATATTGGTAAGAGAACTGTTTATAATTTATTGATTTAATGGTATTTGAACAAGAGATAATTAAAATATGTTTTTATATTGCATAATATAATATCAAATATTATCTTAAAATTATAATATTTATTTATAAATTTATAGCACTACAAATTAAACTTTTAATTCATAAATAAAAAACAAAAATAGTTTAAAATAAAAGCACAGAGGCACTAACATCCTTTCAACAAAAAATTAAGTAAAACAAATTATAAAAAAATGACAAATTTGAGAATGCTTATAAAAGAATTTGGATGTATTTATGTTAAAAAAACATGATATGATCATGTTATAAATAATAATTTTATTTCTCATTACTGTATCATGTTATTTACAAGTTCTGTTTATTTTACAGTTTTTAAAAAATTAATTATTATATTTTTCAAACAAAAGTGTATTCTAGGGAAAATGTGTGATTCAAATTAATTTATATACTTATTTTAATTATATCTAACAATAGAAAATTAATTTTATAAAATTTAATCTTACTTGATAAAATCAAACAAGCAATTGATAAACCCAAAGAATTCAAATTTCAATTCAAGCAACATGTTTCTGTTTCTTGAATTCAGACAAAGAACTGAACATATAGTTTCATTTTTGTCTAAGTAAAAATAGGTTTGCTTAAACAAAAATAAAAAAAAAACGACAAAATTTGTTTCTACAAAATTAACTTAAGTGAATTATTGCAAATTTATTTAAGTGAATTTTGCATTTTTTTCTCTCAATTTTTTTTTCAACATTCTTTAGCTTCCATATTTAACTTTTTTCCTTTTTTTATACATAACTCTCTCTTCTTCTCACAACTCCTTCTTCACCCTATACTCAACTTCTTTCTTCCTTTTTCTACTCTTACTCTATCCTATACCTATTTTTTCCTCTTTCTTCCATATCTAATTCTTTACCTTCCTCTCCCTCCACTATCATTCATATATCACCCGCTCTCCTTATCTCCATTTATCTTGAGTCCTCTTTTTATTTCATATCCAACTTTCATATTCTCAAATACACAAAGTTCGCTTAAATCAAAATAATTTATTTAAACAAATATGCAAAAATTCGCTTAAACTAATTTTATATAAAAAAAATTGTCATTTTTTATATTTTTGTTTAAATAAAAATAAAATTGAATGTCGAGTCTTCTCCACGAATGGAGAGAATCCGAATCCATGTTTCCTTGTCTTACAATTCCAATGATAACCCATCTTCTAAGACAAGTTGATAAACGATTGCACCCCACAAGCGACGAAGAATAACAGTCGTGCCTTTTTTCTTCTGCAACTATTTAGTGATATATAAAGAGGTAACAAAAACTTATATTCATACACTTTGATAAAAGATATATTCCATGGTACACGCTTTTAATTTTATGCAAATAATAATAAATTGATTATAAAGAAATAATAAGATGATAAAACTTATATATATATATATATATATATATATATATATATATATATATATATATATAAAGTTTATTCCCCCTTCTTGATTTCATGAGTGTTTTATATGCAATATAATTGTAACTGCGACATAAAAAATTTTGTAATCCTTTCCTGACCGCAATTGTAGCCAAATTAATCGTATTTATCTTCAATTTATTACAATATAAAAAATCATGACATAATTCTGATATTGGCTGCAATATACATTACACCACTCATATTCAAAGAACTAAAGCACAAAAAAGATTAAAAGGATGTAGACTGTATATGTTAGTGCACCAACCGTTATCGAAAGCAATTAAATTGCTTTACTTTTCCAAATTTAGAAGCAAATGAACTTTGAAGCCTTGAAGCTTAATGACAACCATTTAGATTTGGTGAATCTTAGCTTAGATTCTTTGATGAACCGTCACCTATAACATGAAGTGAGAAACAAGCAATGGTGCTATAAAATACAGCATTCGTTGAAGCACCGTTTTTTCCTTATAATTAAATGAAAAATATTGATTACAAGAACAATAAATGTATATTAAATTTGAGCCGTTCAAAATATTTTAATAAAAGTTAAAAACTTTAATTTTGATATATCACTGGCATTGTGTTCACTTTCACTTAATTATATATTCACAATAATTAAGGGTGCTTAACTTTCATAACACTCTACCTTAAAATATAACTCTTTAGGAATGTGTAAACCTATAATTAAATTAAACGGATGTATACATAAAGTATTTACAAATACAAACTATCCTTCCTAATGAGGTTGAAGCCGGATGCTCTAGCTGATAAAGGACAAAAATTATACAAACCAAAAATAAATAAATATTTTCAAGATTACATGTCATGTTAGGTGTGTGTTTAATTCATTTTATTTGAAAATATTGAAATTTTAAATGTGAATTCAATTTAAGAGTGATGAAAAATAATTAGACTTTGAGTGATATATTTGTCTATCTTGGATCGTGTTTTTTATCTTTCATTTTTTTTTATTTAACTTAAACTTCTCTCTTATTTTTATACTCTTTGATATGTTGTTAACTCATTAATGTACAATTTTTTTTATTATTTAACAAAAAAAAAGTTTTTCTTTTCATTTGTTGAGAGAACTTTTGATAAACAAAAGTATTTTACTCAAAAAATAATTAAATCTAAATATGCAATGGATTTTAACCTAAAGTTGATTTGACTAAGAATAATGACTAGCTGGGGTTCTTGGAGAAGTGTCTCAAAACTTCTTTGGGAACCTCTAATATTCCTTCATAGTGAATATAGATGGGTCCAACGAAAAAGGTAACAGCAGACTATTGCTCCACATGTATAGGCAATGTCTTCACCTTAAATTTTGGTATTCTTAAGGTGGAAGGAGGTACAATCACATTGCAATAAAGTGTTGTTGTTCCTAATAATGTTGGGAATTGGAAGGGGTAGGCTTTGGCATTGTCATTTCATGCATAGAAAAGCTATGTGCAAAACAATGGGTGTTTCTTAAAGGTTGCTTACCTCAATTTTTTACATATGCGTGAACATGTGGAGCAAGAAGAATGAGAGAAGGGGTTCCACTAATAAAGATGGTCTCTATGACCATCATTAATGGTGCAATGCATGCCAGGTTCACAAGCGAATAATTAATATTTTTTATTGAGGTTCACAACCAAATTATTAAAAAATTATAAAATGGGTTATACATAATTAAATAACTTTTTGTTATGTGTACTTAATGAGACATAATAAGAATTACTGCTGTGATAATAAATTTGAATTTTAATGAATGTAATTTTTTAAAATACTCATAGAAAAATGTTTATTTTATATAATATTTTACCTAATTTAAATAGAATTTTTTCATGTAGAAAAAAAAGACATGTAATAATAATAATTTATCTATAATATTTTTTTTATCAAAATAAAAAAATATCGGATGATTTAATGTATTAATAACATATTTATTTATTGTTTATTATATTGCCTCCAATCAATGTTAAAAAATCAGTAATTAAAATATAAAAATATTAACAAGTGTTTTTATTTTGTTATTTAAAAGTTGTTTTTTGAAAATATTATCTACATACTCCATCATAATTTTTAATAGAATTTTCTCATGTTCTTTTTAACTAAAAATTGTTATTTATTAATTTTTTAACAGATGACATTATGAATTACATCCTTAAAGTATCAATTCATTTAGATGGCTAATAAGAATATACATTACCTTTATAAAATAACAACATACGTACCATAATGTTGATGATGATGGTACGTAGTGCAAACAAAAATAAACACATCATTAAAGAGCAATTATTCCTCGTTCGTTTCCGCTTACCCAAAACATTTATGAATGTTTATTGTGCTTTTTCTCTTTTGGATCTGTTTTATGAATGATTCATGATTGTTGGGACATAAATGCCAATGCATACATTACGTCACAACAAAACTGGACTCAATTGCTCTATGAATCTCACTCTCTTCTTAACTAACTCCACTTGCTCGGTACCAACCAGAACCCTAATTGTCCATTTCCCTTTGTCTTTTCTCATCATTTGCACTTAATTTACACCTTTGATTTGATCCGCGTTTGTTTTCAATTTATCGTTATTCTCGATTTGTTTCCTTTACGGAATGTTCCCTGTGTTGAATTGATTGATGCATTGGTTTTTGAAGTGGATCTCTTTTGAATTTGTGTTGCAGGTGATCTGATTGGTTCTGTCAGAATTGCTTGATTCAGAATTGGGACTTTGAATTGAGTTTTTTTTTTCATTTTTCATTTTTCTTTTAGCAGCATATTTTGGGGTTTTGATGAATCCATTCCTTCGTTATTGGGGAAGGAATGTGAGCTATTGTTTCAATGCTTGCAGGGATAGCGAGGATTCGTGGATACTTAAGTAGAATCCCGTGTTATGTTATGATCAGTTGTGGGTTTTTACTTTGTTTGCTGCTCTTTGAATTGCGGTTTGGTGGAATTTAGATTTTGGTGTGGGTTTTGAATCTGTCTGTCGAAGGAAGTTTTAGGATTTGGACATGAGAAGCTCCTGGTTCAATAAATTGTCACTTATAATTGGCCATAGACCCCCATTGAACTGGTTATTTATGTGCCTGATCAGCCTGCTCGTGCTGATTGTTGTTCTAGGTTCATCTTCCTCGAATGTTATTGATCCGGCACCTCATGTTCCTGTATCTCTCATCTACACAAACTATAGGAGGGTCAAGGAGCAAGTGACGGATGATTATTTGGAGTTAAGGTCTGTGGTACAGGGAGTTGCTAGACAAAGAGAATTTGACTTTTGTGGCAAGGAAAGAGAGAATTTTGTGCCTTGCTATAATGTTTCAGCCAATTTATTAGCAGGGTTTAAAGAAGGTGAGGAATTTGATCGGCATTGTGAACGGTCAGCTGAAGTAGAGCGGTGTTTGGTTCGCCCTCCTAAGGAGTATAAAATTCCCATGAGATGGCCAACTGGCAGAGATATTATATGGAGCGGAAATGTGAAGATTACCAAAAACCAATTTCTTTCGTCTGGAAGTATGACCAAAAGGTACTTCTTTCTAAGTTAACTGCTAGAGTTTGAAGTTGACCCTCCTTTGGCTAAAAGTAAAAGTGTTTAGGCTATAACAATTGACTGCTTAAGGCAAGTACTGCAACTTTTACAAGGTGTTCATCGGTTCCTTATTAATGAATAATTTTTTTCTATTTCTATAATTTTGCAATAAACTATCTAGGTTAATGCTTCTAGATGAGAATCAAATTGCTTTCCACTCAGAGGATGGACTAATCTATGATGGTGTGAAAGATTACTCTTGCCAACTTGCGGAGATGATAGGTTTGGGCAGTGACACTGAGCTTCCTCAAGCTGGTGTAAGTTTTCTATTTATCATCACTCAAGAGTTCTCCTTTGGGGACCATAATGTTTGACAGGGCTGGTTTTTGTGCAAAATGGATTAGTGTATAGTTTAAAGAAATCCTTATAAGTAAAAAAAATCAATATAAAAAATAATAAAATTTCTTTCATGAGTTAGAAACAACTTATGCTTCTCAATTTTTTGAAAAGTTCTCTCATTTAACTTCTTTAAAATTTAAGAAGACAGGTTATTTCTAACTTGTAGGAAAAATATTATTCATTTTTTATATTGATTTTTTTTCCTGTAAGGACTTATTTAAAAGTTTACCTAAATTGGGCCTAGGTTATGGTGAATTCTAATATTCTTCTTTCTTTTGAAAAAAGTAAAAACAATGCTTTTCAATAAGTAAAGTAAAATTAACTTTAAACCGTTGATATTTGTAAATAAAAAATGAATGGTTAAAATTGATTGGTGAAAAAGTTAAAAATCAAGAATAGCAAATGACAATATTAGGTAATAAGATATTAATGAAGGGTAAATAAGTAAATTGTTATTTCTTATTTATCTCTTTTCTCTTTATCTCTAGGCAACTCCTCCATTTTCATCTCTCTTCTTTCTTCTCAATCTCCTCTATTCTCAGATTTTTTTATATTAAAACTTTGAAATTAGTTGGATAAAATTAACTAAAGTTTGATAGTAATATAGATATTTTTGGAAAAAAAAAATTCTGAAATCAAATGAAATCTCACTCAAAAATGAGTTTTCCTAATTATCTTTGTCTCTTTTATTGGATATTTCTTTATCTTCTTTGTTTAGCATGCTCCCAACAATGATTTTGATCAGTTTGTTTATTTATTCTGTAATTTGGTTACGAAAACTTTGTTTTTTTTTTTTTAGAAGAAGAAAGTTGTTGTTGCAAATGCCAAAATTGGAATTCAATATATGGTCTTTTCTCGTTCTCTTTCGTGGCTTTTTCCATAATTTCCTTTAAAGCACATGCACTGCTCTATCAATCGAAACTGTGTTTCAATCTGTATAACAAAATACACACTAAGATATGGCCCAAAAAATCTCACCAGAAAGGGAAAGACCTCTAACAAAGCCAGAAAGAAGATAAAACGTTGTTGGAAAAAAGCAACATGGAGAAAACATAAAAAAAAAATACAACTTTTTACATTGATTCTCTTAGAAAATTGACGCAAAAAGTAATTTTTTTAAAAAAAATACTTTATACATTGGTTATCTGGAGATGATATAGAAAGTTTTTTTTTTACAGTTACTTTAACATAGGTTGTCTCAAAAAATTGATGCTGAACGTACTTTTTAAAAAAAAAAAACACAAGTTTCTACATTGGTTCTTTAGAGAGAACTGATGTAACAATTAGCAAATTTTTTTTAATGTTATTGTTTTTAAATCGTAAACTTTGAAAGTACATCTACAAAGTGTTTTCTAATTTTTAACACAGAAAATTATAGATAAGCTTTGATTGTCTGCTTCTAGCAGAATGGAAGCTGTTGTTCCAATATATTAATAAACATAACAGCTATTTGGTACCCATAGAGTAGCTCCTACTGCTAATCAATAAACAATGTGTAAAAGGCATTCCACACATAAATATTAAATTGGATTAGATAGAAAGTAGAAGAAAACATGTTGTTTCATTAGTTTAAATTTCTAATTTTTCTCTGTTAAAAATTCTGTTATTTATAAATCTTTGATAGTGCTAATGAGATGAGAATAAAAGAGAAAGAACAGAAGAAAGACAACAAAGAAAGAACACAAACAAGATTCTAAAATTCCAACATTTTCTAAAAAAGGTTTTGCCATTTGCGAATTCTTTACACGATAAGAATGAAAGAGGAAGAAAAGGAAAAAAACAAATAAAAAAGAAAGAGAATGATAAAGACAAAGAAGAAGAAGAGAACAAGAACAAGAAATTGAAAACTGATATTCGAAAAAAATGATTGCATAATTACATTATTCATTTTAGAATCTATATATTTTGTGGTAACTGTATTGAGTATTGTTCAACAAATTATATATCAATAAACAATGAAGAATATGAACTTTTGACTTATAATTGTCACAACTGAGAAGGAAGAAGAATATAAAATTACGAATGTATCCTTTCATAAATCTAACTTAAATAACTGATTTTCTGTAATACATTTTTAACCATCCGATTAAAATCAATGGTCCATAATTTTTTATAGCTTTTTAAAAAGTTATCTTTATCTTACTTTTCACAAAAGAAGAGAGGATATTAGAATTCACATAAGTTATTGTTATGGCTTAATATATGTGACTGCTCTATGTTGATCACATTATGGCAGGTTCGCACTGTTCTAGACATTGATTGTGGATTTGGTAGCTTTGTAGCTCATTTGGCATCACTGAATATAATGGCAGTCTGCATTGCTGCATATGAGGCAACGGGTAGCCAGGTTCAGTTGGCCCTTGAGAGAGGTCTTCCTGCTATGATCGGCAACTTCTTTGCAAGACAGCTTCCATATCCTTCATTATCATATGACATGGTTCATTGTGCTAGGTGTGGCATCATTTGGGATGAAAAAGGTAATTATTATTGTTAATGGGAATTAAAGTACATCGTCTTTGCTTCCTTAGAAGTTGACTTCTCTCTGGAATTTCTTAAAAAAAGTTGGCTTCCTCTTGCCCTGCTTGCCCTGTACCTTAGCAAATAGCATTTAGCTTTTTTATGAACTTTTGTCTTTCTTTTTGCTCTATAACATTGACACGTTCAACAGATGGAATGTTCCTTATTGAAGTTGACCGTGTACTTAAACCTGGAGGATATTTTGTTTTAACCTCGGCCACAAGTAGCACACAGGGAAGTTCATCACAAATGAAAAAGAGGAACATGTTGATGCCAAAGGAAGAGCTGACACGGCAACTCTGTTGGACTCTTCTTGCTCAGCAAGATGAGACATTCATCTGGCAGAAGGCTGCTGACGTTAATTGCTATGCATCTCGGTATATATCTACATACTGTTTGTTTGAGATTATTAATAACAAGTATCAACTACTAGTTGCTCTGCTCCTACTACAATTCTTTTAGTGACGTGTGCCCTTATAATGTAGCAAGAAGAATGTTATACCACTATGTACAGAAGGTGATGTTGCTCAGTCATATTATCAGCCTCTTCTACAATGTATAAGTGGGACCTCTAGCAAGCGCTGGATTGCAATACAGAACAGATCCTCTGGACCTGAATTGAGTTCAGCTGAGCTTACAATTAATGGAAAGTATTGTTTGTAAATGCTTTCAGAAATATATTTCACATCTTTCTAATCTTTATTCCCATTTTGTACTGCGTTTCCTTTTCATTGACCCCTCTCTTATAGCAGGAGTTCAGCCGGAAGATTATTTTGAAGACTTACAATTCTGGAGATCAGCTCTCAAGAATTATTGGTCTTTGCTTACACCACTAATTTTCTCTGACCATCCAAAGAGACCTGGTGATGAAGATCCACTGCCTCCATACAATATGATACGTAATGTGATGGACATGAGTGCTAAATATGGGGGTTTGAACACTGCCCTTCTGGAAGAAAAAAGATCGGTTTGGGTCATGAACGTCGTTCCTACTTGGGCCTCTAGTTCACTTCCTCTTATACTAGATAGAGGTTTTGCCGGTGTTATGCATGACTGGTTAGTAGCTCCTTTTTCTTTGTCTAGGCTTTCTTTGTCTAGGCAAGTCAAGAGTCATAGAAAAGGTTTTTAAATAACTGATTATAGGTGAGAGTGAGAGACTATGCTGGTCGAGAACATCCATATGTTTTTTGAATTCCATTTCTAAATTTTATTTTCATTTTCATTAGAGTCACCACGGATACTCTTGTAAAATAAATCGTCCATATTTGTGATCTGGTGATTGATCTTTAGGTGTGAACCTTTCCCCACATACCCCCGGACATATGATATGCTTCATGCCAATGGACTTCTTTCTCATCTCGATTCAGAGAGATGCAGCATAATGGACTTATTCTTGGAGATGGATAGAATACTGCGTCCAGAGGTACAGTGCCCCCCCCCCCCTCCTCCCCAAAAAAAAAACCCCCTCCCTTCACTGACATGATTATTTGTGCTGGAATGATCAGTGTGATAACTTGATCTTTGTATTATGTAGTATGCACAAGTCAAACATAACATATCGTACAGCATGGTGAAAATTTCTATATAGATGACTCTAATCATGCATGCTTATTAGTGTAATGTACAATCATAAAATTAAATGGCTTGGCAGGGATGGGTCATTCTTTCTGATAGCATGGGAACTATAGAGATGGCTCGCACAATTACAGCACAAGTACGATGGGAAGCAAGAGTAATTGACCTTCAGAATGTCAGTGACCAGCGCCTACTTGTTTGCCAGAAACCCTTCCTGAAAAAATGATTTGATTGGCTCTACTATGTCTCACCCTGGAAGATGAACATCATTTTTGCTCTGGTAATTCCTCTTCCTTCTCCTGTACTTGGTGTGTGCAGCACTTAATTTAGTACAAAAGTAAACATTATGGGATGCTGCAAAACTCTAGTGTTGGTCATGTGGAAATGGGATCTGCATTGGCCTTGATGTGGATTATTTGTATACTACTATGACTATGCTAATACTATGTTATTATGCATTTGTCGAACTAGGCTCTGCTAAATGTTGCAACCAAAATTGCGGGGCAGGGTTGAATCTAAGCGTCCATGATATTGTGAATCGAATCCTATTACAGCATATTAGTATGTACGGCAGCTTATCTGTACACTTAACTGCAATAATTTATTGTTTCAATTTCAGAGACTGGATTGTTTAGTTAGCACGGGTTGTATATATTGCTCAGAGTCCTCGCGCTTTCCCAACTTTTGCATAATTGGATCGGAAGATTGTGGAAGCTGTAGATTGTGAAGGTTCACATTGAAGTTAGCTCCAATTCATTTTTTTGTCAAAGGTGTTGTAGTGATTCATTCATTTACTATCTTGTTAGCATATTTTGCTTCATGATTGCTTTTATTGATCATTGTACTTAAAGCCTTCTTGAACAATCACACTAGTTTTGAGAAAGAATATGAATAGCCACGAAATTCAATGAATTTAAGATTGTTACACAGGTGGAGTCATTGTTCCCCATATATTATATATCGAGCTATTTTTAGAGAACTTATTATAAGTACTTAAATCACTATTTGGCACGTGTAAGGTTGCGGAGAGTATAATATAATTATAAAAACTAATTTTACATATATCAAATAATAATTTGGGTGCCTGAAAAGGCATGACAGACCACGTGTAATCCAAAATTTCTAAAAACTCCACTACATGACACACTAGTGATAAAATTTAAAACTAGTTGTTCAAATTTCCATATACTTACAAATATTACCATAAGCTGAATCCAAAACAAATATCTTTGAAATGATTATCCAAATCTGACTTAGTTAACTCAGAGGTGGATATCTGAAGTCTTCTATTCCCTTCATTTTTTCGGTCTGCAACACAACTCTAGGCAGATGATGATACTTTTAAAATCACCTGACCAAAGGACGTATCTCATAATTTTCCCTGAGCTCTAAGTAACTCCTTTCAAAATACTAAAAGCACGAGATATAATAGAGCGGGAAATTGAAAAAAAGCCATTTTCGAAGTAGTGTAATGAAACCACCTAAGGAGTAGTAAGCACTCTTTCATGCAATGCTGACTCTTAATAAATGAGCAGCACCTTCTTCATCTTTGAGAAATGAATTCAAATTTGACAATTTGCTATTTTCTAATATAATGAACCTTATATCTACCACTTTCAAATTGTGAGATCAGTGGAATCAAACACTATATGGGGCAGAGAGTGATTTAACGATTCCTACTCCATACATAGATTTAAGAAAAAAAAATCAGTTACATTTATGAATCTACTTAGAGCAAGATATAATGCAGAAGGGAAGTTAACAGATTGAAACTTGAAAGCATTGCAATAGATAAACCAACTACAGAACCAATACTAATGCTCAAGAGAAAAAGTAGATAGAAAAGTCACAAACCCATGTGTGTACGGAATACAATCACCCCAATAGTAGAGGGAAGGCAAAAGTTGGAGAGGAGGGATTTTGCCCCCCAATTTTCCCTCCCCTCCCCTCCCCTCCATATTGCTAAAACAAAAGAAGAAACTTTGATAAAAATCTCTTTCCTTCCCTTCATTTCCCTCTAACCAAACAGTATGGTAATAAAGGCTTCTTTATTCTCAGTAGCTGTGTAGTATCGGTGTGTCGTTCTAATTATATTAAAATAAAAAACGAAGGTTTGCCAAAGGACCTGTTAAAATGACATGCACTACTGCAGCAATCTTTTGAGGTTGGATTAGCTTGGAAACGCGAAAGCTGGATACGGCTTTCTACCCTGATATTTTTTTCAAAAATAGTAACTCCACAAATACAAAACGAAAGAGTGATAACAACATGTTATCAAAGAAAAAAAAATAATTGTATAAAAAAAAGAGTAATAACGACAAATGGAAATAAGCGAATGATCCTCAGGAGCAGTAAATGGCACATGCCTTCCTGAAACCATTATTTCTAAATTAGGGACTCATAGACCTCCAAATAATATCAGAGAAAGGGAAATAAATCGCTTTCTATGACACTGGAAACCAGCGATAATACTGACATATAACTTTTTATAATTTATATACCTGAGTCGTGCACTCTTTGCAAGCCAGCTTTCTCCACTGTTGCTCAGTTTAGAAATGTTGAGAATTCGTCAATCTGCTGCTTCATTTCTCCAATAAACTTTAGTTTTAGTCGTCAATTTGTACAGCCTTTAAATTTACACAACTTGTTTGTTAGTCATTTGTATCTTCAATTATAGGAGATCTGTTCCTTCTCCTATCTCTAGTAGCCATCTTCTGCCCATATCTCTCAAGTATGTCTGCCAAATCGACCAACCCTACCTCTCTCAACTTTTTCCCCACCTCCTCAAACATACACACACCTTCCTCATTTGAAAAGTAGTGCAAAAATTTGTTATAATCAAACCTTGGCACCTCCATTCCTCTGTTCATCACCCTCTCCACATACTTCATGGCCTCCTTTGACTTTCCTGCTTTCACCAACCCACCAACAAAAATAGTGTCAAAATTGACAAGTGGATCAGACCCCTTCCTTCCTCTCCTTCCCAGATGGCCTTGCAGTAGCATTATGTAGGTGTGCATAGTCGGTTCACAACCTCTCCTTATCATCTCCCTAAACACCTGCGTCGCCTCACTGGCCCTTCTCAACCTCAAAAGCCCTTTTATCAACCCATGATACACACTCAAATCCGGTGCCTCAATCCCATCAACAACTTGATACGCCTCTCTGACCCTCCGCCTCGTGAGAAGTCCATACACAACAGATCCCAACGTCAAGTTATCAATTAGAATCCCTCTCTCGCGCATTTCTTCAAAAACTTCCTGAGCTTGGGACATCATTCCTTTCTTACACATCCACTTAATCACCAACCTATAAGTAGAAACGCCAAGCTCATCCATCCTCTTGAACCTCATTGTCTGAAAGAGCTTCAAAGCCTCACCATACTGATTAACCTTGAAAAGGGTCTCCATCATTTTCTCAACAGCATCAACATCAGCCTCAAACCCCTCATCCTCCATCAAATTCCAAACCTTTGAAGCCTCAATCAAATCACCCTTATCACAGAACCCCCTAATCAAATGCTTATAAGTCACCCCATCAAGCTTAATCCACTCCTTCAACTTGAAAGCAACAAACTTTGCCTCCTCAACAAGCTTGCACCCACACATTGCCTCAATCACCTTATTCAAAGTTCCCAACTTGTACTCATACCCGTTGGAATTCATCAAGTGGAAGAACTCCACACACTTCTTAAGCTCCCTTGCACCCCCCAAAGTCTTCATTGCAATGACAAAGGTCTTGTCATTTGCAAAATGACGCCGTGCCATCTCTTCTATAAACTTCCAAAAGAGGTCAATGTTCCTAGACTTGCCTATAACATCGATCATTTTGTTGAAGGAGACAAGGGTGTGATTGAAATGAGGGTGTGTTTGGCTGTAAAGGTAGAAGCGGTAAACGGGTCGCCATGAATAGGGGAAATTGTTGCATACCTGGAGGAAGAACTCGTGGGTGAGTTGGAACTCGCAAGAGGCGAGTTTTGAGTTGAGCCTTGACTCGGGCGAATTCTGCTGCTGGTAGAGGATGGTGCAGACTCGGAGGAGGTGATCAGGGTTCACCGGTGAAATGGGGTGGTGGTGGGTGTGGCGGCTGAGAGTTTGAACGGAGAGGGGGGTTGAGGATAGGAGAGTGGATGTTCGCCGGAGAAGAAGCATTTTAATAAGTATCATTCATTAATACGAGGAAGGTTTAAAGCTTGAAACATAATTCAAGGAGATTAAGAAAAGATGTTGTTTGTATTGTAGTGCAGGGTTTCCCACTGTGTGTGAAGGGGGAAGTAAAAAGCACTGCGAGTTCTGGATTCGGGGTTAGGAAAACTGCAATGAAAAGTAAATTCAGCTATTTATCTCTTATTTTTTATTTTTTATATAGAGATATATCTTAATAATATGCATAACAAAACTATGAAGGGACACTTCAAAATGTCTCTCGGGAATTTTAATTTTTTTAGTCTAAGACTTGAGGTTATCTCTAGATAAAAAAATTGGGAAGATTAATTTATATTCATCCTTTATCCAAGTGATTTGTAATATAAAAATTGATAAATATTCAAATGATATATATTTTTTATTACACTCAAAGTTAATGCCATCTGTTATCATCATTTGTTGATGTTTTTATTGACTTTTTTATAAATAACTCTAATATTAGTGCATACGTAATCATTATATATATATATATATATATATATATTTTTTTTTTTTTTATTTTATTTTATTTTATTTTTTATTTTTTTTGTGTGATAACTTATTTATCTTAATATTTTTTATATTGTTTGTTTTAAGGCTCTACTTTTATTTTCATATAAAATAGTTGATTGTGTAGTTGTGCAATAAAATTATTTATATATATATATATATATATATATATATATATTATGGTAACAAATAAATTTTGATTTTTTTTACTTTAATCATTTAATTTAAATGTTGTTAATAATAATTTTATTAATTTTTTCATCATTTTACAAAATCAATCTTAAATGTGTGATTTCAACTTTTTTTTCTTTCTAAAATTACAATGCATACACTTTTTTGGTTATTCTTTTATTTGAACAAAAACTTTTAAATTTTGTCTTCCTCATAACTTAAGTTTAAACTTTTAATTTTTTTTTCTTTATTTCCTCAACTAAAACTATCTTGTATACAAGAAAACAAAAATTATATATTTAGATATAATTTTTTTTATGTCACTTAGCACGTCTAAAATTAAATTTATTCAATTATGAACATGATCTTTATTATAGAAAGTTTGTCACAACCCTTCTATTTTACTTAGAGCCTAAGATTTGCCATAGGACCATAAACAAATTTTATTATAGTACATTCATATTATAAATGTTATGATTTTTTTTTTTTTTATATTCTAATATCTTGATATGTGAATTTTAACTTTGCCAACAGATAATAGCTAACATAATTTTAAATTATAGAATCAAATTTTTTAGATTTTTAAAATAATCTATCATTTTTTAACTTTTGTTTCTCTCTTAAAATATATATACTTAAAAGATATAAGATTTTTTTTCTAAAATTTACTTAGAATTACAGTTTGGTGTAAAAAAGCATGGCTAATAATTATATATTTATTAAATAATTATGAATTTGCATTTTGATAATTAAACATTTTTCTAAAATTATATTTATTTATAAATATTTAAATTTAATTTATCATTTTATAGATATATAAATAATATATATTAGTTTTTTCCTAATATTTTTATAAATACTTTTAAAAAAAATTAAATAAAATAATACAAAGTATATGCATCAACGAAAATGGTTAAGAAAAAATAGTTCTTTCCTTTTACTAATAAAATGCTTTCTTACAGATTTTTTTTTCTTTGAAATATTTCAATTTTTATAGATGGGATCTATTTGAAATCTGTTTTTTTCATTATTAAAAGTGTTTCTTTATATATTCATATAAATAATTATGTGTGAGAAAACTATAATTAAAAAATATTCAAGGTAAAATATTTTTTTAATTAATTTTTATATTATAAATGAGAATTTACTATTTAAAAAGTGAAATTTTCATGCATTATTATTCACAATTTGCTATATGTTAGGATTAAAATTAATTAAAAATTATGTGTGAATTACATTTTTCCTTTGGTTACAATAATTTTACACTTTACCTATTTTAAATTTTAAAAAATTAAAATTATTGCTTAACTTTTTTTGCCACTTTATATAAATTTATAATTTTTTTAATACCTATTTTTACATTTATAAATTATATTTTTTTTTAATTTAAAGTTTATTTCTGACGAGACTGTCTCTTAAAATTATAGTTATTAATTAATTAATATATATATATATATTAAAAATTAATTAAAAATATTTTAATATTGTACTATAAAATTATTATTTTAAATTTAATTAATTAAATTATATTTTTATCACTTTGATACATATTATTCATAATTATAGAGTTATGTTAAAATAATTTTTAAAAAATAAATTTTTAAAATAATTTTATTTTACATATATAATTATTTTTAAAAATCTAATTTTTTTTACTTAATTAGAAAATTATATGTATATTTATTATAAAATAAAATACTTGTGCATTACATAGTCTAATAAACTAGTAATTAATAAATAAATTACCAATAATTTAAAAATTTTAAACTTTAAAAAGGTGCATCAAATGATTATAACAATTTTGTATACTATTAATAAATGTATTTTTCTTATGAATATATTTCTACAATAATATAAACATTTAATTATCACTAAATTTTGATGCAAAATGGTTAAACACACAAGTGGTTGATTTAAACGGTGCATGCATGATCCTCTTGAAGCTAATTCTTAAGTTGAGGTTTATATATGAAAAAAAAATTCTTAAATTAGTCCCATTTCACTGTAGATATAAAAATTTAAGATGACAATTAGAGTCAAAATTAGTGAATATTCACAAAATTAATTATAATAAATAATAATTTTAATTAAACGAGGATTAATTTAGAGAGAGATTATATAATACTTACCCCACTCCATACTTTGCACATACATGTATATTACATTAATTACATTTTATAATTAAGATTTAAAATATTAAATACATTTTGAATGAATTAAATGTTGTATTTGTGATAAAAAAAAAGTAATTTTGCAATCTTTTATGGTTAATTCTAATATTGAAATAGTATCTTATTTAAATCTTGCTTATTGTTTTTCTCTAATAAAAATACTATGAAGTACTGAGTAACGTACAAGGTATAAAATAATGACAACAAAGAGAGCAAAAGTACAAAAAAATTTATTAATCTAAATAAAATTTTTTAAGTAAGAACTAAAAATATTCGAAGGAAAATATATGAAATTGTAAAAAAAAAATGTACATTTATTCAAATAAAATAAAAAAATTAAAATTAACGAGATGTAAAAATATAGAAATATTTGTCAATTAATTCAACTAAATTAAAATTTTTAAAAAAATAAGAAAACGTATCAATAATAGCACATGTGGGCTCAAAAAAGTTTTTGAGAGAAAAAACACCAACACAACGAAAAGTAAAAGTACAGCTACAAATCAAAACAAAAATAACACACACCGTCCTATCAATAATTCTCATACATTAGGAATCTTCTAAGATAGAACATACGCAAAACAAAAAAGTAAGTATTTATTTATTATTAATTTTAAATTAAATTTGCTATAAAATACTATTTTTGTTTAATCTATTTATATTATAAAGTTTAAGATAATATTTATTGTTATTTTTTTTATTAATATCCTTCTATATATATAAAATAGTATTTATATTACTCAAATAGTTAAAAAGTAAAAATAAAATAATAAAAGGTAAACAATACATTCAATAATAAATTATAAAAATAACTAAATGATTCAATTTATATATTTTATAATATTTAAATTAAAATTAATAATAAATTAATCCATAATTTTTTGCCTTACACGTCTCTTCAATTTTAGAAATGTTAAATCTTAGATTAAAATATGGAAAAATTACAGATAGATAAGCATGGCATTGCATATTTTGCAAAATTGTACTCTCTCTCTCTCTCATTGATTGTTTTGTGTTGTGAGTGTGGATCACGATTTGCGCGCTTGGTGTTTTCTTTGAAAGAGATCGAACGGTTGAGATTTGGGTCATTGGGTTGACCCCAACAAGATGTTCGATGTTTAAGCACTATATAACCATTCCACCCTTCTTTTTCTTCTTCCCATTCCCTCAATTCCTCCTTCTCATTTCTCTTTCCTTGTCTTCCATTCCTCTCTCTGTAACAATGTCCGTCGAGAAAGAGAGAGAGACCCAAGTTTATTTGGCCAAGCTCGCTGAACAGGCCGAGAGATATGAAGGTCTTCTTCTCTTCCCTCCCCTTTTCCTCTTTATGACAGAATCTCATTGTTTTCGATTTCAAATGCAATTTTTATTTTAATTTTAGATTTGGGTTCGTGGATCGCTTTGTTGATTTTATTGTTTTACCTTTTTTTTTTCATTGAATGTATCTTGTTTGGATTGGATTTGGCTTGTAATTGTTTTTGGTGTGTTGTTGCATTGGATATTGGCATGTGGAATTGTTTTTGTTTTATTTTTAGTTACGGAAAGGAGATTAAGGGGTCGTACGGATTGAATTTTATTTTTTTTAATTACAAAGCTGCTATCTCCTTTTCGTTTTGTTTATTGTTTTCAAATATTTGTATATGAAACATAAAATGAAACCAATGAAAATGCAGAAAGTTTTTATAACAGGAAACATAATGAAAATGATGTGACACTTCTGTGATTAAATGTGAAAACAGGAAACTTTCCTGAAATCAAACAGCTCCAGTTTCAGAACTGAAACAGCTTACCAAAGTATTGTCATGGAGTCAATGTTGAAGACTATTTTTAACAACTCATGATTCATTTTGTCATCAAAGTGAATTATAGAGAAGAAAATACCCCCCCCCCCCCTTTTTTTTCTTTTTGGCTCTTGAATTTGTCCCCCTATTTGATTAACTATATTTGCATTGCTACCATTTTGATGGCACGAGTCAGAAAATGGATATGCGTCATTTATTTCTTTTATCCTTTGAATGTCATCCCTTGCCTGATTGGAGAAGATTAATTTTGTAAAAGTTTTACTTTTGACTTGTCAATTTTGTTTGATTTTGGACCCGGGTAAAGAAAGTCTGTTGTATGTATGTGAGCTTAGTTAATGTTGCTGAACTAGATTCTGCATTTTACGAGTTTAAAAAAA